TAGTCAGCTATATTCTTTATTCTTAATCTCTAATTATGATGAATTTCAAATGTAACAGGAAAGTTGAAAAAACTATACAGTGAGCACTCAGATACTAATTAATCATGTATTTGGCTTTTTAACTTACATTGTGTGTGTGTGTGTGAGCGTGCGTGCGTGTGTGCGAGCGTGTGAGTGCACACATGTGTACGTGTGCCATTGTGATGTACGCAGGTCAGAGGACAGTTTGTGGGAGACCGTTCTCTCCTTGCACCATGTGGATTCTAGAGATCAGACTCAGATCATCAGGTTTGGTGGCAAGTGCCTTTACCTGCTAAGCTGTCTTGCCAGTCCCTGTATTTCTGTTTATTACCTTCATTACCACTTATCCATACCTTTCAAACTAAGTTTAGCCATCAGTACAGATTTTCTAAATTTTTCAGTGTTGTATCAGCTACATATAAGAAAGGTTTTTGTGCTCTGAAATCAATCAAACTTTCAATTATGCCTGCATTTGCTATGTTGCCAAAACTCTAATTGGCCTGGGTGTCATAGATCTGTTTTTCAATGGAGCAGATATCTCTTTGATTACTTTTGATATGTTCCCCTGTTTCATCTAGTGCAGTGCCAGACACATAGTTCATAAATACCACTTGATGTTGTTTAGCAGAGACAGAGCTAGGCCAGGGCAAGGAATAGTAGAAGTCAGAGTACACGTAGGAAGGGAGGGGAAAAGGAGTGTATGAGAAGGCCACAGTTGAATGGGACTTGAAGTATTATGGGAAAAAGGATGCTAAAGTTTCCTAAGCACTCAAGCAGTGCCTTTATTTTCTTACCTCTCACTTTAGAAGCAGTGGTTCTATGAAACTTAGACACAACTGTTTCTTAGTTGTAGCACATGGCAAGTCTCCTTGTTGTTGCTTAAATATCACCAATTAATGCATTCATTTTGCTCCTATTTATCATATGATGCAACTTAATTTTGGAGACTGTTGGTGGGCTGCTTTCTATCTGTGCTATGCCTAAGAGCCCCTGAGCTCTGTAAGTCTAGCTTTCTTTTTCTTTTTAACAAATATTTCCTTCACTTAAAACACAAAGAGACCTCGAATCTGCTTTTATTGAGTAGAAATTTTGTACCAAGTATTGTGCTAGCTGCCATCACATCAGTGACACTTTACAAAAACCTTATGATGCACTACTTTCTCCATTTGCCAGACAAGGACACTTGAGACTTAGCACTGTCAGGTCCCTAAGCCAGAACAAGAAACTCAAATCTGTCTGCCTGGAGAACCTAATAGTTCCCACTGTTACACGACATCATCAATGACATTTTAAAGCAGCAACGAAACAAGGGACCAGAGAAATGGCTTAAGGGGTAAAGGTACTTTCTGCCAATCATGATGACCTGAGTTCAATTCCTGTAACCCACATAATAGAATGAGAGAACCAACTCCCTCTTATCTCCGCTCATGCCATGGTATATCTGTTCATTCACCCTCCCTCCCTCCCTCTGTCCCTTTCTCTTCTTCCCGCCACCACAACAATAAACAGAGGGTAAAAAAGACAAATAGAAAAACAAGGAAGTCTACATTTACTAGATGGACTCAGCATGTGATTTATTTATCTAGTAATTTCAATTGTGTGATTGACTTAGGAAGTGTACCCTAATCACTGTGATGTTGGAATAGTAATGAATTCTGGTTGCTTGAGCTGAAAATCTTATCAAAGCAGTTGAGTGACTAAGCACTCATTTAATATAAGTTGTCCAGGTTTTTTTTGCTTAGAAAAATGTACGTAATACTTAAACAACACTGTATTGTGAGAATTAACTAATGCAATTATGTAAAACACCAAGCCATGTCTAGCATATAATATGTGATCACCTTATTTAAGATTGTTTTCCTCATTTCATATTTTTTTTGTTGGGACCAGATTGTTCACCTATAATTTTGACATGAGGATAGCAAAGTGTTCCTAAAACATTTTTAGATCAGACATCTTTTTAAAAAGACTGTTGGGGTGGGTTTTTGGGGGGGGTTGCTTGAGTCTGAACTAGGCCAGCTACTAACTCTCATATAACATTTCAAAACAAGCCAGAGAGGTAAACTCATAAGAAGTTGTGATCAGTGAGTGTCTCTGCTTCTTATCTATCAAGGCCAAATTGTGATGTCATTTAATTTTTTCCGCTAGACTAAATTTCACAATTGGCAGCAACTAATAGGCTTGAGATATTGACAATCTCAGCACATCCATTTCTAAGCCAGCAAAGTAAGGCTCCGAGAATGGAAGTGACTTGGACAAGGTCAAAGAATTAAAAAAAAATAAAATGGGAGAGTCCATTCTGATTATCATTTGTTTGTTTGTTTTTGTTTCTTTGCTTCCTTTGGGAGGTTTCAAGCAAGTCAGTCAGCCTTTAAAGGGTGTTCTTTATAGGAAACGTGAACTATTTGTTTTCTCAGGGTTCTGATGAAGTGTGATGGATTTAGAAAACACGAAACTCTGTCCTGTTTCAAATGAGTTCATACTTTTTACTTCCATTACACTCTTAACACTTTCATTTTAAGGATTAGCAAATTAGTGATGTTTCTCCCTGTTGAAGTTCATTGTTTGGTTCAATTCTTGGTTCTTTGAAATCTTCCACTGGGAATTTTGTTTTTGACAAATAGATCTGGAATCCTAAATGACTAATGACCCTAATTTATTTGAAAAGAACAGTGAGGCTTAGGGGTGACAACTGAGGGGAAGCGTTTTAGGATGTCATTTATGCTTAGATTTTAAAACGTGAAGTCAGGGTAATGGAAGTCTAACAGTAGCTTTTGATATTTCTTTTTGTCAGGATGCTTTGATAGTTTTGTTTCCATTCTTGCTGTGTGGGTTAAAGGTGCTGCCCCTCACCTTATTGCCTTTGGGATAGTCTGTCAGTCATCTGATAGATAGGGTCTTTATATTTTGACTGAAGGAACAATGCTGACCAATCATTTTCCCAATCCTTTCCCTTTTACTTGTGTGGCACTTCTGAGGAACTTGAGGGATTTGAATTTGAAACTTGAATTTGTGGAAGTTATGTATGATGCCCAAAGGTGGAACACCTTGATTCTGAAATACAGACATTCTTTCTTACCCCTTTGTGGAAGCTGAAGTTGGGCTCTGGCAGTCAGAGGTGAGGCTGTGGTAGACAGTTGTAGTTGGGAGGCTTCTAGAGATTGGTACTCCACATGCTTGGCATTCTGCATGTCAGGGGAAGTAAGCTCTGCACCCTTGTTTACCCACATAAGCAGATGGAAGGCTAGGTTACAGCTTTGGTTCTAAAAAGTTCCAATCATAATGCTTCAAAAGGGAAGCAAAAGAGATTTTCCATGACCAGCAAGTGTGTGATTAGAAAGAAAACTCATGTATTCCCTGTCCGCCTTTCTTCCTCTGCTGTTTCCTCTCATCTCTAACTTCTCCTTCCCTTCCCTTTTAAATGACTCATTTGGTTTTAGTTACTAGCCACGTAACCCTTTGTGATTCATGTTACTACTCCCCCCATTGATTTAAAATAGATTTCAAATAAATATTTTACTGGCATTTTCAGCGATGGCAATGGTATCTGAAAGAGCAATTAGAAAGTTTCCTTTCTTATTGCAAGAATTGGACTAAACACTTGTTTGAAGACACAGATGGCACTGGAGGGGGCCAAGGTGAGCTGACACCTGATATCTCTGCATTTTTGGCTGTTTCACATCTGTCCCATGTGGACAGACACACACTTGGGTAACTACCATACAGATGCAAAGCAGGACATGTGGGATTTGGCTGAGCTGGAGGTCCCTAAACATTGCCTGGATCATTTAGTACCCCAGGTGTGGCCACCCCAGGATTTCATGTGCTAAAATTGTGTCCCAGTATAAGCCAGCTGATCACTGTATATATATAGTATCAAGGCAGCTCAGAGCCGTAGAAAACATGACTTTGGATTTTTACCTTGTAGATTTAGACTTGGTTAACCAAGTCAAATCTTTTCCTACATATGGGGCATAGAGGATGGACCAGATAAATAGAAAGACTGAGCAAAAGGAAATATTCTTTTCCAGTAGTTAGCATTCTAGATGGTACATAAAACTCAGATCCTATGATGGAAAATGGACAGACTTTCTAGAAAGAGATATTGGGGGCTCCACTTTCTTTGACAAACTGCTGATGTATTATGGATTACATTTTAAAATATTTCTTTTGAAAAAAACCCTCCTGGGGACATCTAAGCACAAACAATGATTCCAATTTGAAAATTTGAAGAATTAAACAATTATTTAAGAAATTATAAATTGTCCTTTCTTTTTAGTTTCCTTATGTGGGAGAGGTGCTTCACTTAAGTCATTGAAGCAGGAGCTGGTTCATGGTACAGTAATAATAACCTCATACAGTTGTCTGTCCCTTTACAATTGACAGACGACGCATACCTGTTATCTCATTAGCTTCATATGATAACTCCTGTCCTGTGAAGTAGTCAGGATGTGTACCATCACCCCCAATTTATACACACAGAAGCTCAGGCTCAGAGAAATTCCTCATCTGCTGTCATAAAACTGTTGAAATGGGATCCAGGTTCCCCGAAACTCACCCCTAGGTGTTCCTTTAATGCATCGTATTTTTTCCATAAGAATGTCCTTCCTTATTGTTTCTAGTCATGGATAATTTTAAAAATCAGTCTAAAAAAGTGTGCTTCACTTTAGCAGATGAAAACTAAGCCACTTTCAAATACAGTGATTTCTTAAGGTCACTTATCAAATGAGTCCTGTACACAGCTCTTGGATTTTTCACCTTTCCATTTAATGAAGTAGTTTTAGATAGACATGTTTTTCAGCGTTAAATAGATGCACAGAAGTTGTGTGATGGATTGATTATAGGCGTGGAAGCTGCACTTGGAGAATGGGAGTAGGGATGGAAAGTTGGCTTAAAATAATTAGCTTCTTGTGTTTTCGTTAAGAGATGTCATGTTCAATAGAATTTAATTTCTTTATACTTCCTTGCTCTCAGCCTTTTAAATACAATTCTTTAGGGAAAATGAACAGATATTCATTCAGAATGTTGATTTGTCAGGAGTAAGGGTAGCCAGAGGAAAGAGAAAGTAGAGAGGTGACTTTCTATACCCTGGACGTGTGGGTGTTATTTTCTTTGGAGCTGCGAGCTAAGATTTCTTTTAAGCCATGCAAATCGTAAAGTTCTGATTTGTCAACTGCATGCTGTTTCTTTAGGCACTGATGTATGAAATCCCGAACGAATTCTCCAATGAACATACTGCTAATTGCTTCTCCACCTGCTCTCCAACCTCCCCCACCCCACCCCCTTCACTCCCAATTCAGCCTATAAGTGTCCGTCATTGGAGATGGATGGTGACACATGCAGTAATAGCAATTCATAAAAGGCAGTTCCAGCCCTTGTCTTCAAGGCTCCTGGATTTTCCACTGCCTGCTTTTGTGTAAGTGAAGTGGATGGAAGTGCTACTGGCATCAGAATCCACCTCCCCGTGCTCCGTTGCTGGAGCTCAGTTGCTCGGCTGGAGCTGAGCTTAACAGAAGCATCGGATCTGAGCTGAATCCTGGCTGTGTTTTTTTTTCCATCAATGGGGGGGCGGCTTAGGGATAGTGTGTAGTGGGGGCTTAGGGTGTTTTGGCTTTTCTTTTTGAGGAGAGAAGCGGGTCAGGAGAGAATAACTCACGGTAGGATACAACGTGAAACAGTTCCCTGAAGAGTGTCATAATGTTCCTGGTACAATATACAGGTACAGTATGTTTTATTTTCTCAGAAATTTCCCTTTGGTTTTAAAGTGAATTTCTTTCTCTTATTTCCCTTCCTGTTCTACTGGACTGAAAGACAAATGGGATTCTAATAAGCTAAACAAAATAGCTGTATAAAACTCCTTAGCTATGCGTGTGGTAGATTGCTGTGTGAAATCTGGGTTTTCTGTTAAATTAGTAGTCGCGATCCTTAATTGTGCACGCTTCTCTCTCTGCTGTATTCTTGTATTGAATTTCCCAAGTCTTGCGTCTGCAACTGGTAGTATGTGATAATGCCTACAGTGTTTGCACACAGGACAGTGTTTTGGAAGCAAAAAGCATTTTTTTAAACTCGCAGTGTGCTGTTTTCCTCTTGAGTTTTTAAGCTCCTGTATTTTTTAATTGGTTGTGTGGATTTCCATGTAGTTAAGAGTGAGAAAACTTCTAATGGGAAGCATCCCAGAGCACATCTTTTACGTCAATTTATTCTCCTTTCAGTATCGAACTCTGGATGATGAATATCATGTATTATTGTTGCTTATTCTCATGGTAGAAACCAAAAAGTGCTGGGAACAGCAAGGCTAAAAATGCCATCCCTAAGCCACCGTATTGTGACATATCTTTGGATCTAAAAATCTTCCTTAAGTATTCACTTAAGCTTTCAGAAAAATATTGGCAAATAATAATGTAAACTCTGGGCTCTGGTCAGCCACTTATGCATGCTGTTTAAGGATTTGTTATACACCTAGCTGTTAGACAAGGAGGACCCTTGCAAATGAGAACACTTGAGAAAGTTTCACTTTCCACACTGAACAGAACAGGAGCTTAGTTCCTCTAGCCACATGTTTTTGGATAACTTTAGATATCATTTATTGGCAAATACTTTCACCTACATTTTTTTCATTCTTAAAAGAATGTTCTCCTGTGCAGAAAAGCTAAAAGATCGTATTCTGTTTTAATGTGTGGTTTGACAGTTGACTTTGCTCCTCATTAACTGGGCAGCATCAGATGATGTGGAGAAGGGGCTGAGTGAAAGTATTTCAAGGTTGCACTGAAGAGCATACAGTGAACCTTGGTCCTTGGACCAACAGCTGCTGAATTGAATTGTCTGCAATTAAAGCAACAGCAGGTTTGTGTAGTCTCCCTGCAGCCCATTGCTTTGAAATTATGGCTTTGGTTTCCTTCCTGGCTATCAGTTGGTTTTTTTTTTCTGTAAGTGTTGGAAAGTTGTGCTTGCTACATGTTTTCTTCATATACCAATGCAGGTGTGACTTCTGAAGAGCTGTATCTGTACATTTTAATGTGACAAGTTGCTGAGGTTGTTCTCCTCTGGTTAAATCCAGAGATGTCTCTTTTTGTTACTATAAATTAAATAGATATATTCTCATAGAAAACATTGCTTTGTTCAATACGAAGATGTTTCTTGTGTGCTGATAATACTGGCTTAGATGTCTGGCAGTGAAAAATATTGGACTTTGTTATGCTCCTGGAATTACTGTATCTGGGAAGCACTTCTTTGTGTTAATACAATGTTTACATTAAAAGAAATGGTGGCATCCCCTTGATGTCTCTCAATTCAAGGTGAGCACATGAACAATGTCCAATTCAATCAGGTGGCTACTTAATGGCTACATTTTATTTGTGTGTTAGTAATGGATCTGTTTAATTCTTTAATGGTTTTATTCTATTAAAGTTATAATTACAATACAGTTGTTGGGTCAGAGTGGATGTGTAAAACGTTTTTACAATGATTTAACTCCTGCTGTCAGTTAAAGCTCATAACAATCCTACACGGCAACAGTGCTGATGTGATCTGTATTTTATAGGTAACAAAACTGAGACCGAGACTCAGAGGATAAATAACTTGCCTGAGGTCTTAACCTACTGAGTGGCAGAGCCTGAATTCACAGATTAAATCATCTGATTGAAAAAAATCTGTGTTTATTTTTTCTACCTTATACCACACTGCCTTTTAGATAATGGGTTCCTGGTAAATTGGACATATTCTACTAGTTGAGAAGACTACATTTAGTTATTTACAGAAATGGTATATTCTTTCATAGTACACTAGTGTTTTGATGAATTTATATACCAATGTGAATGAAAACAAAATTTAAAGTTTTGAGGAATAAATCTTGTCTGATTTGAAGGTTAATGTAAAATATTTTTCCATCTAATAAGATAATTTGTTGTAATATTTTGCTCAGTGGGCTTATAAATGGTTTTCATAAGTATGTTTTTCAAAATATCCTGGCTTTGAATGTGAAGTGTTATGTTTTTAAAGTTAGAATATTTTTACAGAGATAACAGAAAAAATATGTAGCTCATTCCCCCTTCCTCCTCCTCCCTCCCTTCCTCCCTGAATTCCTCATTCTTCTCTCATCCATCTTCCCATCTTTTTAATGTTCTCAAATGGATTTTTCAATTTTAATGAAAAGTCATAATTTGTGTACCACCAAAGAAGGGAATGCAGTTTAAAGTTGTGTTATAAATTCATCAAAGGGATCCAGACATTAAGTAATTTACACTAGCTCCAGCTCTCTGATCAAACTTTTGTTTAAACCCCCTTTCAGAAGACATTGTTCAAGGAATCATTATTCCATCAATTTATTGGCGATCACATGTACTGGGGAAATGACTGCACTCATGCCATATACAGTTTCCCAATAGTTGACAGTATTCAACAGTATTATGAAGGGAGTGAGCAAAGCCACCCATGGTGGGACACACCTGCAGTCCCTGCACTTCAGAGGTAGAGGCAGGGGCAGGGGCAGAGGCAGGGGCAGGGGCAGGAGCAGGGGCAGGGGCAGGGGCAGGGGCAGAGGCACAGGCACAGACACAGGGGCACAGGCACAGACACAGGCAGAGGCACAGGCACAGGCACAGGCACCGGCACAGGCACAAGCACAGGCACAGGCACAGACACAGGCACAGGCACAGACACAGACACAGGCACAGGCACAGACACAGACACAGGCACAGACACAGACACAGGCAGAGGCAGAGGCAGAGGCAGAGACACAGACACAGGCAAAGACACAGACACAGGCACAGGCACAGACACAGACACAGGCAGAGGCAGAGGCAGAGACACAGGCACAGGCAAAGACACAGACACAGGCACAGGCACAGACACAGACACAGGCAGAGGCAGAGGCAGAGACACAGACACAGGCAAAGACACAGACACAGGCACAGGCACAGACACAGACACAGGCAGAGGCAGAGGCAGAGACACAGGCACAGGCAAAGACACAGACACAGGCACAGGCACAGACACAGACACAGGCAGAGGCAGAGGCAGAGACACAGACACAGACACAGGCACAGACACAGACACAGACACAGACACAGGCACAGACACAGACACAGACACAGACACAGACACAGACACAGGCACAGACACAGACACAGGCACAGACACAGACACAGACACAGACACAGGCACAGGCACAGGCACAGGCACAGACACAGACACAGACACAGGCAGAGGCAGAGGCAGAGACACAGACACAGGCACAGGCACAGGCACAGACACAGACACAGACACAGGCAGAGGCAGAGGCAGAGACACAGACACAGGCAGAGGCAGAGGCAGAGACACAGGCACAGGCAGAGGCAGAGGCAGAGACACAGACACAGGCAGAGGCAGAGGCAGAGACACAGGCACAGGCGCAGGCACACGCACACGCACACGCACAGGCACACACACAGGCACAGGGGCACAGGCAGAGGTGCAGACAGAGGCACAGACACAGGCAAAGGCAAAAGCAAAGACAGGAGGATCACCACAAGCTCAAGGTTAGCCTGTAATACAGAGTGAGACCCTTCCTCAAGGCCTAAGCAAACAACAGAAAAGAAAATAAATCAGAGATAGGACAAATATTGTTGTAATATATTCCTTCAACTTTTAGAAAAATGGCATACGAAGATGGTAATGACTGTATTGCCTTGATGACTGTGTGGTTGGAATCTATCTCCATCCAAGATTATGTCTTTAATGTATATTAAAGTAAAGGAAAGTAAAACATTACTTCTCTGGCTAAAGGAAAGGAGGAATATATGAAACCAATTCATCTTTCTTTAAGCTTAAATGAGATTTGGTAATTTAAAAAGTAGTAATAGGTCAAGTTTACAGAAAGTAAAGTTGGGGGTTTTTAGGCATGTGATTGGAAGCTCCATATTAAAAAAATCTTGCTTGTTTTTTCTACTGCAGTTAGAACAATACCTCCTTTCCCACCCTAACAAATACTGATTCTTTTTTGTGGTAACAAGCCTACAAACTGAAGTGAAAAGGAGGTTATTGGAGACTTTTGAAAGAAACTGACTTTTTTATTGGTGAAGGAAAAAGAATCTTTGATCTGTATAATGTTCCCTTCCCTGCACTGAGTTCAAGAAAAACTCAAATGTCGGTTTCTAGATTTCAGCTACTCAGGGTTGTAAGGCTGGGTTGTGTGCTGGATCACTTCACTACACCTGTCAAGCGTGTTTAGTGAAGTAAAGGGCAGGCATAGCTTACTCAAGAAGATCACTAAGAATATTTACAAGCCGGGCGGTGGTGGCGCACACCTTTAATCCCAGTACTTGGGAGGCAGAGGCACGCGGAGGCCTGGCTGGACCGACAGCCTCCAAAACAATACAGAGAAACCCTGTCTAATAAAACCAAAAAAAAATAATATTTACAAATGTAAATACTTATTGAAAACGACATAATATTAAGAATAATGCTCAGGAGGTGGCAAGATGACTTAGCAGGTGAAGGTGCTTGCTACCAAGCCTGATGACTTGAGTTTGATCCCTGGGATCCATGATGGAAGGAGAAAACCTATTCTTGCACCTATCCCTGCAGGGAGTCCTCTGATCTCCACATACTCCATGTGGCATGCCACCCCTCACCCTTCAGCCCCCCATTCCCAAAGCGATATATTTGCCTGTGTCCCTGTAACAGTGGCCATGCCTTTTGGGCATGGTTACAGGTGTGGACTTGACCAGATAAAGGGAGAAG